CCTTCCCCGAGGTTCTTTTTTTTTTTTTTTGATTGTGATTAAATGATTACATAATTTCAAAGTCACAATTTCATTCTAACTTCCCTGGAGCAAATTGTCTACCACAGTCTGTAATATATAACAGTGTTCACATGTTATATACCATATTTGTGATCAGCAGCATGAGGATATTTAGTAGTGGTTCAACCAGATGAGCGGGATGGAAGGGTCTTCTTAATCTGAGACCCTGACCGAATTTCTGTCCTACAGTGAATGCTTCTCCAGGTAGAAGACAATTTTTTTTTTTTTTTGCGGGGGTGGGGGGGGGAAGGGGGTCCGGTCATGGGCCTGAACTCTGGGCCTGGGCGCTGTCCCTCAGCTCTTCAGCTCAAGGCTAGCACTCTACCACTTGAGCCACAGCACCACTTCCTGCTTTTTTTTTTTTTTTTTTTGCTTATGTGGTGCTGAGGAATTGAACCCAGGGCCTCATGTATGCAAGGCAAGTGTTCTACCACTGAGCCACCTTCCCAGCCTGACATTTTTATTATTATTATTTTGGTTGGTTGTGGGGCCTGAACGCTGTCCCTCAACTCTTCAGCTCAAGGCTAGTGCACTACTACTTGAGCCACAGCGCCACTTCTGACTTTTTCTGCTTATGTGGTACTGAGGAATCAAACCCAGGGCCTCATGCATGCAAGGCAAGCACTCTACCACTGAGCCACCTTCCCAGGCCCTAGAGGATACTCTTGAACTCAGCAATCAAGGACTTCTAGACACTGATTCCCTTTATCAGTGCAGCTTCATCTTCCATCTGTGCATGAACCACTGTAAACACCTCACAAATCACTGCCTCCAGCAATGTTCCCTCTGAGCTTTCACCCTCTGTCCAATTTTCTACCTCTGTCCACCTTATCAACCTGTCCAACTGCCACTGTGTGCAAGTTTCTCCTCCTGTACTAGGCTGAGAGCAAGACCCATCGCCACCCCCTCTCCCACATCCCCACAACTCCAGTTGTTTCTCTTAAGGATAAGGTCCAGGTTTGATGTGTCTCAAAGTAGCCATGGCAGGGTATGGTGTGAGGCAGGGCTGGATGTCAGTGGCTCACACCTGTAATCCTAGCTACTCAGGAAGCTGAGATCTGAAGATCACAGTTCAAAGCTAGTTTGGGCAGAAAGTCTGGGAAACTCTTACAACCAGTTAAAAGCGGAAAGTGGAGGCGTAGCTGAAGTAGTAGAGTGCCAACCTAGAGTAAATAAGGCAGACAGTACCTGGTCCTTGAGCTCAAGCCCCAGTACTGGTACCAAAAAAATAAGTAAATAAAAGAAGCAGAAACAGGAGCATGAAGAGTCTGAGTTCTACTTCTTGCGGAGTCTTATTAGGCTCTGCCAAGGGGAAAAGCTCTCACCTGTTGCCTGCCTGTCCTCTGGACTGGCAGGCAGCCCTCAGGCTGCCAGTACTCCTTTTGGATTGACCTTGCCATTCCCCTTTAGGGGCTAAGACGTTTGTCAGCTCCTTGAGGGGAGAGCCTGGGAAATCCACTTTTCAAGATGTGGATAGGGCAGTCACAGCCCTTCCCTCAATCCTGGAATCTGGCTCTGGGGCCCACCTCACCCCCAGCCCCACCCGTGTGGCTCCAGCCTACAAGCCTGACTCAGCCTCTTTATCCCTTTATCCCCTCCCTCTTAAGGCTGCAAAGACGGTCACTCAATCCCAGAGGCTTTTCTGGGGACTGTGTCAGATGATTTGTGTGCTGGCTGCATTCTTGGGCAAGTGGCTTGGGAGTAGCATGGGGCCTGGAGTTTTCAGCTCTGCCCTGTCAGCTGTTGGAGCATGACTGATTTACATAGCATTTTCATAAAACCAGCAGGTGCTTTTTCTTTAATCATTTTTTCTTAAAATCTCCAGTTCCTGTTTTCCAGGGACATCAGCTTCTTTGTCCAGTCTCCTCCCCGCCCTGAACTCCCACAACTGTCCGAGATTTGAGGGCGGTGTCACCAATTCAATTTATTAATTAGGTCTTCAGTGAGTGGGAGGAGAGGCCAGATTCTCCCACCGTGGACTCTCTCGACCATCCAGATAGCTTCTGTTCTCTCTCAACTCAGTTCTACCTTGGTTTCCCCACTGAGAAGCAAGATCTGCTTTCCTGTGTGCCCTGAGATATATCCAAAAAGGAACTAGAAATCCTCAGGGAGTTTCCCAGCTTCCCCCAAGAAACAACCAGGGACACAGTGATCATAGAATCAGGCCAAGCAGGGCAAGCTGTAACAGAGAGTAGAACAGATTGAAGTCCTTTACCGCAAAGGAGAGAACCACACTGGAGGGGAAATAAATAGAGGGGCTGGGGGCAGCAGAGACCAGGCCCCCTGGAGCAGTGGTGACTGGAAGCTCCAGCACACTGGCTCCAGGACCTCTGCCACCTCAGCCACTGAGGAAGAGACGCTTGTAGGCCTTGTTCATCTGTTCCAAGAAGATGAAGGTGAGGACAGTGTGGGGGCCCAGGCGGGCATAATATGGTGTGAAGCCCTTCCACAGGCTGAAGAAACCCTCATAGCGGATGACCTTCATCAGCACATCCTAGACAGACAGGCAGGCAGGGTGCTGGGGCTAGGACTTGGTTTTTAGGACTCCATCTCTTTACCCGGTTATCCTCAGAGCCCTCCCGGGGCATGGGACCCTCCACCCCAAGCCCCCTCTGCCTTGTTTCCTCACCAGCCCATTCTTGTATTCTGGCTTCCCGTCAATCATTCTCATATTCTGGATCCTGCAGGAGAGGACAAAGGGGCATGAGAAACCAAAAGCCCTCCTATTCCACTCCAGGGCCAGGCCTGAACACTCACCGGGTCTTGACAATGTCCACAGGCATGGAGGCGGCAGTAGTGACAAGGCCGCTGATCATGCTTGCACAGAAGTGACACAGGATATTGTCGGAGAAGTAGCCTGTGGGGGAGAAGTGTTGGGGAGGGGTGATATTCAGCTCAGCAGTAACCCAGGGCAGACTGGGAGCTGAGGGCCAGTTTGGGGTCTTACCTGAGTCCAACAAGAACTGCTTGGATTGGGAGTATGAGGCAAGCTGGGCAGCATTGACAACAACAGCCCGAGCCATGGTAGGGATGCAACCCTGGGAGTGAGCAAATGGAAGAGTAAAAAAATGTCAAAGACATGACCACACATCCTCCAAGTCCCCACTCCCTTCACTCACCCGCCACAGTGTGGGGACTCCCTCTTCCCGGGCAATTCGAATCAGGGCATTAAACACATTTTTGTAGCCACGACGCTGGTCAGCTGGAAGCCTGGTGTTGGGGCAGGAAGAGACCAAGATCAGGTCAGCCCACAACAGCAAAGACAGAGAGGCCTGAACAGACAGCTGCTCTGTTCTAGGCCTGAGATGGAAACAATGCCAACAACAACAAAACAAACTGGTCCTTTCATTTTTAGATTGCAGAAATGGGGTTGGGGTTAGGCTCAGACCTGGAACTCACCGGCCATCAGCAGTCATGCGGATAAGAGCTACCTCAGCTGGTGTTCCCACAAATGCACCAGTTGCACCTGCAGTCATGCCAATCAGGGCCTTCAGCAGAAAGCCAGGGGGTGTACCATCTGCCCCAGTCAGGCGCTCAAACAGCACAGTATAGATGCCGAGGCGGGTAGTGGTGTAGGTGGCCTGGCGAAGCAGGCCAGCTGACAACCTGGAAAGCAAAGGGATCAATATGTCAGGGCCAAGGTCTGGACTTGCTGACAACACACCACATACCCTCCCTCCCAACCTGAAGCTCCAGTACCCAGTGTAAATGCCCTTCAGACCCTCAGCCTTCAGGATGCTGGTGAGGGCATGGAAACTGGTTTTGTATTCTCGAGTTTTGGCGCCTTCTCCACTCAGCTGCATCCGGTTCTTCACCAAGTCCAAGGGTTGCACAAAAACTGTAGCTCCCATCCTGGGGGAACAAAGGATTAGAGCAAGAGGTCAGTTGTTTCAGATCTACTCATGCCTGCTTAAGTCGGGCAGCAAGAAGTTACAAAGGTCAGGGCCTGCTGGTGTACATGTGTGTAAGAGTGTGGGCAGCAAGAGAAATATGCCTGAGAGGTATAGTTGTCCAATAGGGTCCATGCAATGAAAGTGCTTTAGGCAGTTCCACGAAGGTCAAGCGGTGAACAGGAACCACCGAGCGGGTGGAGGGAGCATCCATGGCCTGAGACCCTGACATTACTATTTAATGAATCGTTTAATGACATGGAATCTCAGCAAGCTAGATAGTCCCAAACACCCCAGCCGGCCAAGCAGAGTCAAACAAGTGGACTGGAAAACTCAGGTGTTTAGCCTGGTGAGGGTCGTGCAATAAAACCTGAATGCAGCCCAGTAAGGACTTGCAATGGGAGAAAAGATCCTGGCTGCCCATCAAAGCTCCTGCAATACGACTGGAGATCAACTGAACCCAGTGCAGGCTCAGTTCACTGAAAAACATTCCGAGATGAACCGGGCCCGGGTGCTAGCGCCAGTCCCTTCCTCCTCCTTTCCCACCCCTGGGGCCTGAGCTTACCCGGCCAGGCCCCCAAACAGGAACTTGACGGACTTAGGGGAGGTACGGGGCTTCCCGTCCACCCCGCGGATCCCGGCATTCGCCGTCGCCGCCATCGCCACTCAAAGGTCCCCGGCTTCGGGTCCCGTACGCGCGCGGCCCCGCTCGCGCCCAAGGTGACACCGAGCGCGCCACAGAGCGAGGGCGCGCGCGCGCGAGCCCCGCCGGCATTCAGGTCCAGCCCCGGCTGGAAGCTGGTGCCGGCGCAGGCGCGCAGCGCAAAGGCGCCTGGGAATGGGCGTGGCCGAGGGTGGAGCTTGAAGGGTGTCTGAGGGAAGGGGTGTGGCCGATTTAGAAAGCAGAAGCGTGGGCGCAGTTTTTACCGAATAGGAATCGCGGGAAAATAGTTTGTTTGAAAGTCTCGCGAGAGCCAGTGAGTCAGACTAGCTGGACTTAGGAAGTCTCTCGCGATAAAGGCCACAAGCTTTCCGATGCAGGGGAGGGGCGCGTGGGAGGAGGGCCAAGCACTCTCGCGATATTTGGAGGTACGGCGGCGGCTAGACGGAGGATCAGAGGTTTGTAAACAGGGCAGCTCCAGAATCTCGGGCAATAAAAGGAAACGATTAGGTTGTCTTCTGGGTACTGGTGCTCCCTTCACTTTACAGGCTCTCCTTCCATCCCTCACATGTCTTTTAACCGGCCTTTCAGGACCGGAAGTCCTTCGTCTTGAGCATCCAGTGTTGGAAGCGGCCTGACTTTACCGGAAACCCTTTTCCCGGGGATAGGAAGACGACCCACCTGGCCGGAAGTCATTCCTCCTTGTGCTTTCCTCCCCCCGCCCCCTCTCGGAAGTTTCTGTCACCTGTGTTTGCCTCCGATCCTTCTCTGTTTTATTTCCATACTAGGAAGAACCCACTTACCTAAGTCTCCTTCCCAGTTCCACTAAGCGAATTGGCTATCTCCCTCCCCGAGTCGGGGCTCCTCCCCCGGCGCCCCCATGTAGCTGAGAAGGGGGCCCTAGGGGTGGTTAGACCCCTAGGATCCTGAAGGAGGGTCCGAGAGCGGTTTCTGCTCCTGCTATCAGGACGCGACCTCCCCAGCCCTCCTCCTCTTGCTGTCATGCACTCTGCAGCCTTCCCGCTTCCTGTGGTTGTGGCCACTGTGCTGTGGGGAGCATCCCCCATCCGGGGGCTCATTCGAGCGGTGAGTCTGAGGGGAGGAAGGGGGAAGGGCACGGAAGGAGGGTTTGCAGGCTGAATGCGTATGCGGACTTTCTCTTTTTCCTCTCTCTCCCTCTCTCTCTCCCTCCCCTTTCCCCCTCCCTCTCCCTCTCTGTCAGTCCTGGGGCTTGGACTCAGCCTGGGCACTGTCCTTGAGCTGCTTTTTGCTCAAAGGCTAGCACTCTACCACTTGAGACACAGATCCACTTCTGGCTTTTTCTGTGTGGACTGAGGAATCGAACCCAGGGCTTCATGCATGCTAGGCAAGCACTCTACCACTAGCCACATTCCCAGCCCTTATCCTTCTTTTGTCTGCAGACCTCGGAACACAATGCCAGCATGGACTTTGCAGACCTCCCGGCACTATTTGGAGCTGCCTTGAGCCAAGAGGGACTCCAGGTGACTTCTCTTCCCATTTTCCTATTTCCTCCATGTACTTTATCCTAGGACATGCCCTGGGTGAAACTGGAGGTAGGAAAAATCATGTTAAGAACTAGCCCAGGAGGCCGCATGCTGGTGGCTCACGCTTGTAATCCTAGCTACTCAGGAGCTGAGATCTGATGATCGCGGTTCTAAGCCAGCACTGGCAGGAAAATCCGAGAGACTCATCTCCATTTAACCACCAGAAAACCGGAAGTGGTGCTATGGCTCAAGTGGTAGAGAGCTGAGGAGCTCAGGGACAACACCCAGGCCCAGAGTTCAAGCCCCATGATCGACACAACAACAACAAAAACCTAGGGAAGTGGCTTAGTGGTAGAGCACTTGCCTAGCTTGTGTAAGGTTCTACATTAAATCCTTGACACAGTCCTCCTCGCCCCTCCCCCCCCACACAGCCAAGTACGTGAACATGTCTAATGGAACTCAGAACCTAGTGGTAGCAAAGTCCCCTCTGAAACTCTCTTTGGAGTTTATGAGTGAGATAAAGTAGATACGGAAAAAAAAAAATAGCTGGGTGCTCGTGGCTCACGCCTGTAATCCTAGCTACTCAGGAGGCTGAGATCTGAGGATCACGGTTCAAAGCCAGCCCGGGCAGGAGAGACCGTGAGACTCCTATCTCCAATAAACCACCAGAAAACCGGAAGTGGTGCTGTAGCTCAAGTGGTAGAGCGCTCGCCTTGAGCTGAAGAGCTGAGGGACAGTGCCCAGGCCCAGAGTTCAAACCCCACGACAGACAAAAAAAAAAAAAGTAGATACGGATATAGCTTTTCAGTAGTCTTTGGAGCAAGTTATTGACTATATGGAAGTCTCTTAATCTTTTAAGATTTTTTTCTAACTATAAAATAAGATTAAAAAAAAATAAGGGGCTGGGAAGGTGGCTCAGTGGTAGAGCGCTTGCCTTGCATGCCTGAGGCCCTGAGTTCGATTCCTCAGCACCACATAAGCAAAAAGAAAAAAGCCGGAAGTGGCGCTGTGGCTCAAGTGGTAGAGCGCTAGCCTTGAGCTGAAGAGCTGAGGGACAGCGCCCAGGCCCAGAGTTCAGGCCCACGACTGGACCAAAAAATAATAATAATATGACAGCTGGGCGCCAGTGGCTCATGCCTGCAATCCTAGCTACTCCAGAGGCTCAGATCTGAGGATCGCAGTTCAAAGCCAGCCCGGGCAGGAACGTCTGTGAGACTCTTATCTCCAATAAGCCACTGAAAAACTGGAAGTGGCGCTGTGGCTCAAGGGGTAGAGCGATTGCCTTGAGCTGAAGAGCAGAGGGACAGCGCCCAGGCCCAGAGTTCAAGCCCCACGACCAACCAAAAAAAGACAATTTTAGAACTATTGTGAATGAGCATGAATTGGATAAGCAATACTGTACTACTTCACAGAGGCTACCGCATAGCAAGAACTCAGTTGGGCCTTATATGTTAGTAATTTGTGAAACTGGAAACTGGAAAACAAGTGAGAAGAGTGGGTCATGTGTTTAGTGGAGAGGGAAATGTGAAAGAACTTGAGGAAAACTCACACATGGATTCAAGAACGTAATTAGAATCAGTAGGAAATTAGGGGCAGGAATGTATTAGCCTGGAGTGTGGGTTATAGGGAAGCTCATCTGAGGAAAAGAATGATGGGGAAAGTTTGATGAAGGGATATTGTTTGCTTTAATTGTATCTATGGGAGGCAAAGAGAAGATGTATGGGGAAAAGGTAGAAAAGTAATGAGAATAATGTGTGCAGATGGTAGGTGAGGTGCTGTGCTAGTAGGCCCTGCAGGAAGAATCTAGGGAGAAAACTAAACTGTTTGCTTGTCCCCCCAGGGGTTCCTTGTGGAGGCTCACCCAGAAAATGCCTGCAGTCCTATTGCCCCACCACCCCCAGCCCCGGTCAATGGGTCAGTCTTTATTGCACTGCTTCGAAGATTCGACTGCAACTTTGACCTCAAGGTTGCTGAATGTGGAGTGGGAGCTGGGAATTTGAGGGCAAACAATAGGACCAGGCTTGAAGAGAAAGGGTTCATGATGGCTCTTTGTTCCCTGCCTTGTCCCCTTAGGTCTTAAATGCACAGAAAGCTGGATATGGTGCAGCAGTGGTACACAATGTAAATTCCAACGAACTTCTCAACATGGTGTGGAATAGTGGTAAGTTGGAGGTCTGGGCAGCTGGGTTTTCAGTAGCATTTAGATCTGGAGCTAGTGGGAGGTCTGAAGGCTTACAGACCTTTGTATGGAATGGATAAAAAGTGCCAAATGCCAGGTCCCCAAAGGATGAGTAAGTTGAGAGCCCATGTAATGTCCTGATCCCTGCAGAGGAAATCCAGCAGCAGATCTGGATCCCATCTGTCTTTATTGGAGAAAGAAGTGCTGAGTACTTGCGTGCCCTCTTTGTCTACGAGAAGGGGTAGGATATGTGCTTCCATACCTCTCGTCAATTCTGTGCCAACCTGGCAGCCTCACTGCCCCCCCCCCCCAAAAAAAAAAAACTGGGTCTTGGATCAATCCTCCCATAACTCTTGCCCTCCTTCCCACTTCCTTTTTCATAAATGAGTCTTGTCCAGAGCCAGTTGCCTTTTCTTGCCTTCCTTGAGACTGGTCTTCTTTTCTTCAGGGCTCGGGTACTTCTGGTTCCAGACAATAGCTTCCCTCTAGGCTATTACCTCATTCCTTTCACTGGGATAGTAGGACTGCTGGTTTTGGCCATGGGAACAGTAATGGTGAGTGGCTCTGTGCATCTGGAGAGCTGGGGCTAAGGTCGGACTGGATCTGAGAATGGGGGTATATGGGAAAGGGAGGGTGTACTGAATTTTTCTGTTTTGTTCTCTAAGCCTGGAATATCCAATTCCCCCTTCTCCCAGATAGTTCGTTGTATCCAGCACCGGAAACGGCTTCAACGGAATCGGCTTACCAAAGAGCAATTGAAACAGATTCCTACCCATGACTATCAAAAGGGTAAGGGTACAGGAAGGAAGATCATTGCTTATCTAGTTCTGAAGGAGCTTGAGCCCAAGCAGTTAAGGGGTAAAGATGGCAGAGGGGAGTGGCGCTGTGGCTCAAGTGGTAGAGCGCTCGCCTTGAGCTGAAGAGCACAGGGACAGCATCCAAGCCTAGAGTTCAAGCCCCATGACCGACCCAAAAAAAAAAAAAAAAAAGATGGCAGAGATGTCATCTTGAGATGCCATCTTTTTTTTCTCCACAAATACAGAGGATATGAGAGCAGGTAGACAGAAACCAATTATGACCAAGGAAAGTAGTGCGAGGGCTAGGCCTTGTGTATAAATAAGGTAGAGAGCAGAAGGATGGAAGGCATGTGGAACATTCAAAGAAACCGGTGAAGGACAGGGTCTCTTGGCTCCGCAGCCTCCAATGTCCATATAAGGCTATATCAGGAGCCCTGCCCCCGCATTTCCGCTCCTCCCACTGATCTCCACCCTCACTTCCCCCAAAACCCACTTCCCTTCTTACCTCTGCTTTGCTTGTCCCCTTGTGCCCCATTGTTCAGTGTCCTGCCCTGGCCTTGTCCTACTTCCCTGCCTGGTCATCTTAGTTCTTCCATAAGTCTACCAGAGTAAGTTCTTAAGCCACCCTGGTTCAGAATGGTTCAATGAAGGAAGAGATTCCTTTCTTCTGTAGGAGACCAGTATGATGTTTGTGCCATCTGCTTGGATGAATATGAAGATGGGGACAAGCTGCGTGTACTCCCCTGTGCTCATGGTGGGTGAGACGTTCGTTGATTGTACTTGTGCCCCCACCCCACCAGTTGCCACCAGCCTGGTGCTTCACACATTCTTCTCCACAGCCTATCACAGCCGCTGTGTGGACCCCTGGCTTACTCAAACCCGGAAGACTTGCCCCATCTGCAAGCAGCCAGTTCATCGGGGCCCTGGGGATGAGGAGCAGGAGGAAGAAAATCAAGGCCATGAGGAGGGTGATGAGGAAGGGGAGCCAAGGGACCACCCTGCCTCAGAGCGAACCCCACTCCTGGGCTCCAGTCCCACCCTCCCTGCCTCCTTTGGCTCTCTAGCCCCAGCGCCTTTGGTTTTCCCTGGGCCATCAACAGAACCCCCACCTTCTCCTTCTTTCTCCTCTCCCTCATCTGCCACCATTCTAGCCTAAACTCTCACACTTAGCACTTCTTTCCTACACTGGCCATGTTCCTCCAGTCTGCTATGTTAGGGAATAGGGTAAATTTCCATCCCCAAGTTTCTTACCCAGCCCCATCATTTTAAGGCAGTTGGGGTAAGGGGGCAAGGAACTGGGTCCTCACCTGGGTTAATAAAGTTGTTTTTCTGGATTAAGAAAAGGTCATTTTCACACAGGAGTATGGAAGGGATAAGGGAGTCCTGGGGACAGCCCAGCAACATTTGCTATGTGTGACTCAGAAAAGGGAGCCCCGCCCACACATAAAGATGACTCAACTTGCCCTGCCTTGCCCACAGGCTTGGATCCAGGCTCTGGTCTGGGTGGCTCTATTGCATTATCTACCTAGGACTAGCGTAGAGGGACTAGGTGCCCTGGCCAAACATGCTTGAGTTAGATGCTTTTTTAGTCATGATGAGGACATGGTGACCAGTTTGTTTTTAAAAAGACATTAGGACCTTTGGTCTGGATATGGAGACAAACTACCTAGATGAGTGCTTCAACCCCAAACAGGAACTAAGGCAGATTGCAGTGCCTATTATGACACCCAAATTCAAACCACACAGCACCTTATTAGTAGAATCCTTTTTTATTCAGAAAAAAAAAAAAAAAAAACCAAAAAGTTTTCCAACCACACACAGGAGGGGGATGGGTAGGGGGGGAAATCTGTCCATCCAGCCCCTGCCCCCAGCCCATGTGGTTTTGGCAGCAATAAGGGATATTGGGTAATGGCCCAAAAATAAAAATGGTATATGTGTGTGTATGGGAAGGGAGGGGGGTGCAAAAGCTGTGGGGATTGGTGGGGGGGGGAAGAGGATGGACGAGGTCAGTACTGGGAACGCCGAAGGTGGGAGGCCATTTCATAACATTTCTTGTTGATCAAACCGCCATGGACACCTTCTTTGCCCATCAGCAGGACTAGCGCTATAGAGAAAAGAGAAAGGAAGCTAGGACCCAGGTGTCACAATTCAACCCCCTGCCAGCTGTTCAGCAGCTGTCCAGCCCTGGGGGCTGTAACCTAACCTCATGGCCCCCCTTCCCCCCACAGGCAGGCTGTCATTCATCCTGCAACAATAGGGCTTTTCAAAAAGAAAATCAAGCTTAAAGATTGGAGTGGAACAAGCTAAAATTCAAGGGTCAAAGGCTCAGACAATTCATGCTAGGAATGGCTGTAGAGGAACCGACCACCTCCCAAGTTTAAAAAAAAAAAGCTCAGCCCAGCATTAAATGACCTAGAATCTGAGGAATCTACCAGTTCCAAGACAATGGCAGTGGTAGAGTGCTTCCTAGCATGTTTGAAGCCCTGTGCTCAATTCCTCAGTACCACATAACCAGAAAAACGGAAGTGGAGCTGTGGCTCAAGTGGTGGAGTGCCTAGCCTTGAGCAAAAGCAAAAAAGCAGCTCAGTGACAGTGTTCAGGCCGAGTTCAAGCCCCAAGACTGCCCCCCCCCCTCCAAAGGCTCACAAAATTAAGGGACTTCTAAGAAGTAATGCTGTGCAATATTTGTGATGTGCCAATCCTGAGGCTTGAATTCAGGGCCTAGGCTCTGTCCCTTAGCTTTTTTGCTCAAGGCTAGCACTCTACCACTTGAACTACAGCTCCACTTTGGCTTTTTTCTGGTTAATTGGAAACAAAGAACTTCATGGACTTTCTTGTCCAGGTCTGGGTTTGAACTGTGATCCTCAGATCTCGCCCTCCTGAATAGTTAGGATTATAGGCAAAAGCCACCAGCAGTATCCACCTGCAGTTTCTTTACTAGATTACAAGACGAAGGACTATGAACTGAAGGAACTACCTAAGGTTCTACCATCTAGCAAGCAGAATGGGAGTAGAATGCTGTTCTGATCCTCTTCATACTAGGGGGAACTCAGAAGACTGCAAGGAAGTATTATAGAAATCTCCAACCTTAGAGGGGTGAGACTCAGAAACTCACTCTTGGCAGTCATGGTGACAGTGACATTGAAGGTAGGGGCTCCGCCAGTACTCTTGGTACGAAGATCCATGGTGAATTCTCCGTCTTGTAGCAGTGAATCCCGGATCACAGAACATTTCTGGCCCCCAAGTGTCAGCCCATTCACAAAAAAACTTGATCGGTCTTTGCCAACCAGGACACCAACTTCAGCTGGCTGGAAGAGTAATCATTTATCCATAAGGTCAATGCACCAAGAATGTTTTAAGAACCCACCTCCTTCAAAGGATACCAACTTCAACTAGCTAAAGAGGGATGAAGATCAATCATTCATGAAGTTAGTCCATCAAGGTTCCCACCTTGTTCTCCTGCCTTTCTACTTCTCTGGGAGCTAGAAACCTGGGAGAGGTGGGGGAAAGTGGGGTAGTGGGGCAAGGGCTTCTACGTATCAGGATAATTTGAGAAACATACTGTAAAAGCTTAGAAAATGGGACCAGGGAGGGATGGGTAACATTGCCCTGGAGGTTTTTAGGTGTTGGAATTTTAACAGGAAAAGCAAAACGAGGTAATTCGTGAGGCTCAAAATCAGTAAGGAGAGGTGCAAAACCTTTGGATGCTCAGAACTCTCCTTCAGGAAAAGCAGAAGCGGAGAGGGGAAGGGAGGGGGCGGGTGAGGCAGGAGAAGCAACTTTGCCCTTATTTGGTCAAAGGTTCTGCAGGAGTTGCTAGGGGCCTGGACGCCTGGGTCTCCAAGTAACAGTACAGTTTGGTCCAGGTATCTGTGCCTCTAGATGAAGAAGACGACCTCTGGGGGCTTTCTCCGTTAAAGTTGGAAAAGTTTTTTTTTGGGGGGGGGGGAACGACTGAGGGTGGGTCCACACCAGGTGAGCCAGTTCTCCATTAGTTACCCCAGGGAACCCTTCTCCCCTCCCCCCCTTACACCCTAAGCCCCCATATCCGGTACCCTCCCGCCCGGAAATCCCCTTCCCCCCCATTTGAACTTCCGCTCCCCCTCCCCACTTCCGGGCAGTGTGGCCTGGGGAGGTGGTGAAGACAGAAGCAATCATGCCCCATGCCTTCACTCTCCCCTCTCAGAACTTCTCACAAAGTTCCCCCCGCAGCAGGCCCCGCCGGATGGCGGGAAGGGCGGGTGAGGGGACTTCCGGGAGTGGACTTGCAGGAATGCTGGAAGCCAACGAGTTTTGTGTGTGCCTGTGTGTGTGTGTGCGCGCGCGCGCGGCGGCCTCGCCTTCCCTAACGGAGCTGGGAGGGGCAAGGAGCCCACGGACGACCGGCGAGGGCCTCAGGCCACGCGTCTGGGGCTCCCGCACGCTGAGGGAGGAACAATGGTGGATGGGAGCGAGCTGGCGGCCCGGGAGACCCACGGGCCCCCAAATCCCTTCTCAATCACAACCCCCAGTTACCACTGCGGCGCGTGCCCGCCCTCCCGGGAGGAGGCGGAAGTGGGCCGCCGCCGGGCGCCGTGCCCCTCCCCGCGTGTGCCCCGGATGTAACGCCCCGTCGCAGAAGGGGTGGCAGGCGGGATGGGCGCCGCCACCCGGGGCGTGGGACTTGGGGGGGGGGGTCCCCCGAAAAGAAGCCGCTCACATGCAGCCGCCTTCCGCGCCGCGCTCGGGGCAGGGGCCGGGCCACGACCTCCGCGGCCCTCGCTCAGGCCGCGCCCGCCCCCACTCGTCCCTCCCCCCGGGGGGGGTCCGCGCCCGGCCGGGGCCGCTGCCCGCGCCAGCCTCTCGCCGTACCGTGATGTTGACGAAGGTTTTCTCAGGGACGGCGGCCCAGACGGAGGGCGAGTCCTTGTAGCCTACGATGGCCGCGTCCTGACAGGTCCCGTCCGCCATGAGGTTGTCGATGTAGGCGTTCCACCCGGACATGGCGCTGCTCGTGGGGCTGTTCTAGGCGCTGCTTCAAGGGGGCCGCAGGCTGGGCTCGGGCTGCTCGGGCTGGCGGGCGGGGGGGAGGCCGGGAGCTCTGGGCACGCGCTGCCGTCCGGACCGCGGCTCTGCTCGCTGTGCAGCAGCCCTCGCACCGCCACTTCCTGCTCCTCCCCCCCCACCACTAGATTTTTATTTGCAATGGGCGGTAGGGGCGGGGCCTGCTCCCCACTCCTTCCCTCCCCCACCCCGGCTGCCCAGAAAGCGAACTTTTTGCAAATGCAATTTTAAAAATCCCTCCTCCCCCCTCTTGCAAAATGTGCAGAGTTCGATGGAAAGCTATGTAAAAGAGCTCGCGTGGTGGTGGAGGAGGGGGCCGGATCGAAGGTTTGGGGCTCACCTCACTTCGTGTAGGGAATACAAGCCACACTTGGTGGTACAGGAAGAGAAGCAGCCGGAGGAAGGAACGAGAAAGGAGGAAGAAACGAGCAAGATGCAAATTGAACAAGGAGCAAATCTGAGAGTTCGGGGAACCCAGGGTTAAACGGAACGACTCCTCCCCCCCCCACCTCCGCCGGAGGGAAGGAACGGCGGGCGGCGGCGCGTGCGCCCGCGCCTGCGCCGGGACCCGGAGGGACGGCGCGTGGGGCGGTTGGGGCCGGCGGCCGGCTGCGCGGGAGCGCGCCGCGCCGGGTGGATCTGGACTTTTCCTGGGATGGAAGGCGGGCCTGGGACACGTCTCTCCCGCCTAGAGGGAGAGGCAGGGGGGCCGGCGTGTGCCGCCGCACTTTTTTTTTTGCTGTTACTTATTTAAACAATAAAGGAGAATTTGGAGGAAAAAAAATAGAAAGGACACTATTATCCGGTCCTTTGCAGACCTAATGGTACCCACAGGACACCTGGCCCCGGGTGTGTCCCCGAGACGAACAGATCGGCTCATTGGAGCTCATCCCTACTCCTCTCTAGATGGGCTACGACCCAGGGCCTCGCCCCACGGCCCGGCCCCATCCGTCCCGGGGCCAGCGCGCGGGGCACCGGCCTTGCCCCTAGGCTCTCTCTGCAGAGGTCACCGGGCTGCGGGGCTCGCAGGGCGTGACGGGCGGAACTAATTTTTCGAGGCGGAAGAATAAAAAGTGACCAGGTTGGCAACTTTTTCAAAAAGAGTAAAGTCCCGTCTACTTCGTACCCATTCGGTTTTTCTCTCCCCCCCACCCCCCCGGTCAAGCTCCTGTTAAATACTTGTGTGATCGGTTCGCTCGCAGCCCAGCTTTGGAGGCGAGATGCGGCGACCGCAGGCTCGGGCGGCTGCGTTGGGTGAACCGATCACCCCTTGAGCTCTTTGCAGAGGGGC